CCTTTTTTGTTGCAGTTTTTAGCCTAAAGTTAAAGTACCCTAAAGCCAAAGTCAAAGACTCTGTTTGTTCTGTATGTTATTTTTTTTTTATTTTATACAATCTACAGGAAAGTTTTGTCAAGCTGTTCCCAATTACTAACCAAGCACTGGCTGCTATGTTTTAAGTTGACGTGTTGCACATGTTGCTTGCCAATAAATACAGTTGTCAATTCATGATTTTCCTCTTCTTGTAATTTCAATACTTAGTTTACATTGTTGTTAGATATAGTTTAATAAATAATGCTACATGATAAGGCTTCAAGTAGACCCTGTAATCGGTGATCGGTATCGGTATTGGACGATACAGCTTCTAGTGATCGGTGATCGGGCCCAAAAATCCTGATCATAGCACCCCTAATGAGTAAGTAGCATTAAAAAAAGCTTGCTTGGGAGGCATACAGTTTAACCATCAGGTGCACATCACTGGCCATTCTAGGACCCCATTGCACTTTTATAGCAGGAGTCGCATGTGTTTGTTTTGATAAATGCAATTCTTTAACCCTTGTTATTTCTCCCTGTTGAAAAATGAATTCCCTAACCCCCCTCCTGCCTTTTCACCCTGTTCAGCTCTGACGTTGACAAGGAACCTGCTGGTTCCACTGACTCTTCCCAGCCAAGTATGAGCCAGCCCTCTGACCCCCCTAACGAAGCAGGTTTTTAGCTACTTTCTTCTATGCAGATACTGTTTTCAGTAATATTGATAAGAAATCTGATTTTTTGCAATAGATATAAATGTTTAATTAGAACAAAATGTTGGTGTATATATTGTGTGTGTGTGTGTGTGTGTGCATTGGAAAAATGTTACCAAGTTTTTTTTCTTTTCGCAGTTTTACCTATCAGATTATTGTAGATTTTATGAATAAGTCTTCATAGATTTGTAGACTTTGATGCAAAAACAAATACATCAGTAATCTGTTTTGTAATTCAAAATCAGTATGTACAGGAAATTCTTGAAGTGTGATGTTTTTGGTAGTACATTGTTGTCAGTTTCTGTCATTTATCATACTTGAAATCTGATGAGGGAATTGCATCTAGTAAAATAAGTAAACATTACTAGAACTACCATTTCTTAGATACATTGCCTGATAAACACATATACATATCTCACATAGTTCATATATACATATTTAAAAATATATATATAGTTAGATGCCCATAGTTGTCCCTCTCTACTGGTCAAAGTACTGTACCTGCAATAGGCACGCAGTCATCCAGATTGGACCTTAGACCAGTGGAAGAAGGTCGCCTGGTCCAGTAAGTCCCATTTTCATCATTGTGTCAACGGGCAGATACATGTGCACCGTTTCCATGTTGAACAAATATCTTGTTTCCATCAACATGGACCTGGTGCCAGTGCAGGGCTGGTTCTCACATGGTGACTTTAGAGAATCGGTTCTAAAAAACAAGGGAATGGAAATGTTACATAGGTGGAACTGAGAGTACTGAAGTGAAATAATTAACGTTTATCTGTTTTTTATTTTCAATAATATGATGGAGTATTATGGTCACATTGAGGGGGAAAAAAATCAGATTTCAAGGATAAAGTCAAAATATTACGAGAAAAAGCTCTAATTTTAAAATGTCTTAATATGAGAATTAAATAGTAATTTTATTCTACATGTTATTTTAGAGATATCAGAAGAGCATGTGATAACTTAGAGATATCAGAAGAGCATGTGATAACTTAGAGATATCAGAAGAGCANTTAGAGATATCAGAAGAGCATGTGATAACTTAGAGATATCAGAAGAGCATGTGATAACTTAGAGATATCAGAAGAGCAGCCTTCTACCTGTGTTAACAAGGAATGTGGATCAACTTGTGAAGTTATACTTTTGGGTAGGTTTGACAAATTACAAAATACTTACAGTCCTGGTCAGAATTATCGGCACCCCTCAATTGCAAGTACAGAATGTGGAATATCTTCAGAAATAAATCAAATGAGCCAATTTTTGTGTAATAAGAATATTTAAGAAAACATCCAAAGTTATTGAACGACGACAACAAAAAAATATTCCATATAGTAAAATAAAAAGTATAGCCATAAAATGTATGCTGGGCACAATTTTTGGCACCCTTCACTAATACTTGGTTGCAGAATGTTTGGCAACAGTGTCAGCTTCTAAACGTTTCTTGTAGCATCTATATGCTTCTTGCCTGCACCTGCTGGTAGTTTCTGCCACTCTTCCATTGCTATGCATTTAGACTCTTAAGTTTGCAGGAGTCCTTTTTGCAATGGCAGATTTCAGCTCTCTCCAAAGGTTTTCAATGGGATTTAAGTCAGGACTCTTCGCGGGCCAGTATAAAACAGTCCAGTATTTCCTTTTCCACTATTCTCTTGTACTTTTGGATGTGTGCTGTGGTCGTTGTCCTGCTGAAAGGTCCAAGACTTTTGCCTCAAACCTAGTTTTTAGACACTGGATAACATATTTTGCTCTAAAATGCCTTGATAATCTTCTGATTTCATCGTTCCTTTGATACATTCAGTGCCTCCAGTACTACAGGTAGCAAAGCGACCCCACAACATGATAGAACGTCTACCATGTTTACTTCAGATAGGGTGTTCATTTCGATATGGGCGTCATTCAGTCGTGTATAAACAAACTGCTGCACTACATTCCCAAAGAGCTCTACTTTGGTTTCATTTGTCCATAGAGCATTGTTGCAGAAATATTGTGGCTTACCTAAGAGTTTTTGCAAACATAAGTTTTGCCTTTTTGTGCCATTCTTTTAATAGTGGTGTCCTCCTTTGCCTTCGCCTACGGAATCCTATTTGGTTTAGTGTGTGGCGTATAGTACAGGCAGAAATCACCACTCCAGATTGCTCACGGTCATCTTGAAACAGGGATTTAAAGTTCTTTGCCATTTGCCTTGCAACCTTGGAATTCTGCTTTTTTTGGAATAGCAGTTTTGGTTTACCCAAACAAAGTCTTAAGTTCTAAGCTACCAGTCCTATAAAAGTCTGAATATAATCATTTTTTTAATGCCATAACAAAGTTATATACATATAAACACAATATATTGTTTTTTACAAGTAACAATTAAATGCTGAAATTGCATTTAAAAATACGCTTATTTATTCAAATGCAACTGAACATATAGTGTAAAAATAAAAATTAATGCACAAGAAAGTCAGCTTGATAGCATAATTATACTGTAAAACAAAAATATTTATCCATGTTATCACTGCACTAAACAGAAACATTTATTTCTCTTACCTCTTATTTTTAGAAGCCTAAATCAAAATTTCTAACAAAAAATTTGATTTAGGTTTCTAAAAATAAGAGGCAAAGTATCATAAAATACCCTACAGACTATTTACAAGTTAATAGAACTGTTTCATAAATGTAAATGAGTGTGCAGACTAGGCCTTGAATTGAAAATCTCTCGCCAGCCAGCTGACCAAAGTTGGTGACACTAGTCAGTGTACTATGAACTTGTCTCCAGCATTTACGATAAAAGTCTGTCAGATATTTGTGCATGATGGGGTTACATTAGGGTGTCACCATGGCTGAAAACACATTCTACTGCAGCACTGCTGGCAGACATAGCTAAGACTCCTATGGCCGCTGGAAGAGTGAAGGAAAAGCGCTCATATTAATTGCCCAGAAAAAGATGGAATTCTGTCCATCAGATAAATCAAAGTAGTGTCAGCTGTAATGCTGGACTGGCCACAACATATCTAAAGTATAGGGATAGAGAACATAAGAACATAAGAAATTTACAAACCAGAGGAGGCCATTCCGCCCATCAAGCTCTTTTGGGGAGAACTTAACTAATAGCTCAGAGCTGTTAAAATCTTTTCTAGCTCTGATTTAAAGCAACCCAAGGTTTTAGCTTGCACTACACTAATAGGAAAACTATTCCATACTCTAACTACGCGCTGTTAAAGAAGTGCTTTCTCAAATCCAGTGTAAAATGTTCTCCCACTAATTTCCACCTATGGCCACGAGTTCTTTTAATTGAACTAATATTGAAGTAACTATTTGACTGAACAGCATCCAGACCCGTTAGAATCTTATATACCTGGATCATATCCCCCCTTAGTCTCCTTTGCTCGAGGCTAAACAGATTCAGCTCAGCTAACCTCTCCTCGTAAGACATTCCTCTAAGACCAGGAATCATTCTTGTAGCCCTACGTTGAACATTTTCTAAGGCAGCAATGTCCTTTTTAAGGTAAGGTGACCAAACCTGCACACAATATTATAGGTGGGGTCTTACCAAGCAAAAGAGAAAATTAGGACTGCCCACCTCATTATCATACACATGGAGAAATCCAAAATAATCTGGAAAATCCATAAATGTCTAAAGAAACAAATCAAGCAAGATGAGCCAGAAAAACTGGGGATTTGCTGTTTTCAGGTTTTTGGCAGGTGAAATTTTGATTGCTGCATAAATGCTTTTATTGAGGTAGATGGTTATGTGAGTCTGCTTTAGCCAGTGGGAATTAGTGCCTACATTTTGGGCTTCAGCCTGAAATTGAAATGAAAGATTTATGGAAGCAGGAATAATTAGCATTTTATTACAAAATGTTATGAATAATACAGACCAATTATCTCCATTGGTGGCAACATTTAATAACACCTGCAAATTATGAAGAAAGTCCAGTCCAACTTCAAATACAGCACAAGGAATTAAACTGGATTTTTTTTCATTTCCACATCACTTTCACCTTCAGCCATTCATCTGTTCCATTTACATTATGACATCTACTGTTTAGCTGCATTAAACAAGTGAAATGACATGACTAGTTGCACACAGTGATTGTTCTGCATCAGGTTTTACTGATCAGTACAGTCCTCCCATAGTGTGGTCTAGGATATCTGCCGACAAATACCACAACCAGTGCATTTACATTGCGCAGATGAAATATATAAAGATCAGTAGCAGCCGGTGGCTAAAAAAGAAGGTAAGAAGGTAACACATTTTTATAGTAAAACAATAGTGTATTTAAATGTTTTTAAATGACAATAAAATTTTAGTAATTTGAGTTATTTCAGAGTTACTTCTTTCATAATTTAATATCAGAAATAGAGGAGGTACGACCTCTTCTACATCTATTGACCAAAAAGATCTATCCACTGGTTAAAACAAGATTATCTTTGCAGTTTTACACAACTCCTTAAATTGATTTTATCCAGCCTGATATTGACTAGGTCCAAAATTTTGTCTAAAACCAAGAGAGTACTGAAAATTTTATTGCTGCTTGAAGTAATGTGAAATTTAATGTTGATTATATGGGCACAAAGAACTACAAAATTCATTTCAAAAAAGGTCACACGTATTTCTTTAATAAGGGCAGCACAGTGGCTAAGTGGTTAGCACTGCTGCCTCACAGCAAGGTAGGCTGATTGGCGTGTCTAAATTGGCCCTGTAGTTGTGTGAGTCTGCATGTGGCTGTGTGAGTGTGTGCACCCTGAGGTGTGTTGGTTCCCACCTGTGCCCGTTGTTCCCAGGATAGGCTCCGGACCCCCCGCGACCCCAGTGGGGAATAAGCGGTCACGATAATGGATGGATGGATATTCTGAAATTGATCTTGATAGTAAATTGTGTTTTTAAATGACCGTAATCTGGGATTTAGGTTGTCGGTTAGTGTCAGTTGCATTATGTTTCTCTGTTCTATGCCCTGCAGCCCCCCAGGCAGAAGTCAAACTGGCGGCAACTTCAGGAAAGAAGCAGAACAAGAAGAAGGTGGAAGAAGTGGTTGAGGAGGTGGAGGAAGAGTATGTAGTGGAGAAGGTTTTGGACCGGCGGGTGGTGAAGGGCAGAGTGGAATATCTGCTTAAATGGAAGGGGTTCTCTGAGTGAGTAAATGTGCGTCTGCAAACTGACTTATTAGGATTCAGTAGACTTGCTCATCTGCGCTAGCTGGCAAACATTAAGAAACCTGTACATTTTTTTAAGTTTACTAATGAACAATTTTGCATATTACACACAGAAAATGTAGGGAAAACATTTCATCCATTCCTACTTCTCCCTTGTGTTGTCTGTTTTTCTGATGTTCAACATGCCAAAAATTTCCATCAAGCACTCAAGTCAAAAAAGTGTTTAAAGAGTTAGATGCATTTGAGTTATGTGTATGTTCCCCATATCAGTGCAGACAGTACTTAATCCAAAAAAGAATATGTGGCCATGCACAAAGTACTATATACTATTCATCAAACAAGAGAAAGGGATTAGGCCTTAAATAATGTTGACAACAAGCAAAATGCGAAATTTGGACGATTTCATTTACATTGCGAACATAATTGAAATCTGCAGAAACCATTATTTCGAAAATGAAAATTTGGTGTAGCCTCCTACACTTTGGTCATTCTCACAAACACAAGAATCCTTTGATGAAAAATTAAATGTTATGGCGAAATATGGTGTTTCAATTTTGTGCCAAGCAATTTGTATTACCTTATTAGGTATATTAAAATTATTTATAGCTCAGATTTAATGATCCCTCATCCATTTCCCGACAGGCACTACCGTTGCTTTTTTAAGATCAAATAAATCAAAACTAGATAAAATGTTTTTAAATCTATTAACTTCATTGCAAGTAACCTACAACAGACAATTTAACAAGATATGTATTCATTTCTTTGTTTTGTACTGTATTGTCAATTGTGTTTCTCTGCAACCAATTAAATAGACATTTTAGACAATAACATAATGTCATCAGACTAATTTAAAAAATTTTAAAAAAATTATATGTTATGGTAATGAGTTTCTGAAAATGCCCCATTGTGTTTAAGAAAAAATGCATGTACTTCAGCTTTTTTTTCCCCTTTTCATTAAGAACAATTCTGTAAACAAGCAAATATACCTAATAGATATCATGTAAATGTTAGTATTATTAGTAGCATGGACTGAAAGTTTAGAATAAAATAATAATGTAATCAACTGCACAGTCAAATCAAGTTCATACACTACAGTATAGGGGGCAAAGTATTATTCCCAACCAATTGCTAGTCACTGCCACTAAAAGCCCACACCTCTACCTCATTAAGCGTATAATGGTTATGATGAGGGTATCTCCGACTGTCTCACTCTGCTGCAGCACAAGTAGCCTACATGCACCTGCGGCTTAGGATTGGGAGGACACAGTACTTCTTTTGAACCTATTTTTGATAAAAAAAAAATTATTCTTTCAATTAAAATGAAATTGACCATTTGTTTAGCTTAACTGATTCACCTGCAAGGCATGTTGACAAGGCAGAATCCTACATAATGGTAATATACTTTGCATTTATTTCTATATACTGTTGCGTAACATAATTCTTATATAATTATATAAATTATTCACGTGTTTTGGATTGTAATATCTGTTTCTAAACATATGATACATGTTGGAAAGTTTCATTTTGTTACATGTTCAGCAGTTCTGAATACTGTAATATTGACTATGTAGACACTTACTCAGCCCTGCAGAGCATGTGGGGAAAAATGCAATTAAGTGCACTTAAGTCAGTGGCAGAATGTGTTTATGGGTCATTTACATGCAACAGATGCATATTTTGGTGTTTCTCCGCCCAAACTGTGTGATTTGCACAGGTGCGCTTAAACCCCACACTATAGTGAATGGGAAAATACACTCACGTCAAAAAAGCATGTAGATGCGCTTGCCGTGTATTAATTATGGTAGAATCGATTCCCATAATGAATGCACAGCAGTGTCATAATTAACACAACTAAATTGTAAAATTACTATTTAAAAGGGAGGGAAAGTCAAATTATTTTTGTTGTTAAGGTACCAATGCTTTAGTATGGGTCTTGGGTCACACTAAATGCTCATGATTCTATGAGTTATGTGTTTAGGATGGAGAAATAGAAGTAGAAGGACTTAGCAGTATAGATGCTGTGGGTAACTTGCATTAAATCAGTCTCATAAAAATGCACATGAATTAAGGATTTTTAATTTGAATTAAAATTACAAAATTTAGGATGTTTAAAACTGTTAAATCACTGTATTCTTACTGCCACTAGGCTTAATTAAAGTGGCAATACAGGTGATTCAACCAGTTCCGAAGACACAAAATAGTAAACAACTACGGATGACTAAACAGGCTAAATATGGTGATGATAAACATGCATTCATGCAATACAATAGTTTAGAGAATGGGTGTGGTTGTGTTATATGAGTGTGTTAGCAACAGGCGCCCAGACGCAGTTGCAGCATGGTTTTATTTTATGTCAGTGAAAACATGGCAGAAGGCAGTGACAGTGCTCTACAGATTTTTTATGTTAATGTACATTTCATATTTTCATATTTTTACTACAGTATATAGGCTATGTTATTGCTTTAATGTTTATATGCAAGCAAAAAGTGCATAGTGCTGCTAATTGTATATTTGGTTTTCAATATAAAACTTGTCGAAATGATTTCACTTTGTGTATCACTACTTTTTTTTTTCCCAGCACATTTTTACAATGCCGCTATAATACTGATTACTATGATCATTTTGGTCACTATAATCATATTAAATTTTCATGCAGTTCCATCTCTACTTGTGAGTATGACCAGTTGTGCAGTACTCAAGTTATGCCTGGGCAATAGGTCTCCCTATGTCTATGGTCTAGCCTGCCTTGAAGAAGAAGAAAAGTTCGACCAATCATAGCTCAGGATTCATTCATGGCAAATAAATTATTTCTTATATATTTGTTTTGGCATTAAACTCATCTTTATCTTAGTGTACTTTATAAATATGTCAGATTTACCCCCCNCCCCCCCCCCCCCCCCAAAAAAAAAAAAATTCAAATTGCAAGCATGGGTGACTGACAAATGCATAATGTCATTTCAAGAGAAAGTATCTTGGATCTGCAAATTGACTTTCATTTTATCCCTCTCATTCTCCCTTCTCACTCTGGCCGGCTGGTTCCTCAAGTGAGGACCATTCTCTGAACTCCTTTGCAAAGGTAAATCGGCTGGGGGCAGTAGTTGAGATTGTGAACTGAATTAAAATGTTATGTATGCAGGGCTTGAAATTCATTTCTTGCAGTGGGGGAGAATTCCCCCCTTATGCTTAGCACATGGGAAGGGGGTCAATTTTTGTCATAAACAAACAAGGAAGTGTCGAAGTGTGCAAATATACGTACGATCTCTGCAAATTACAAAACATCTTTAATAAATCACTTACCTCTTAAAGTTTTAATGTATTTGTGCAGAACATTAATGATGTGCTTTATGATGACATTAAGATTCCTTGCGAATGTGTCATGAAAGTCCAATATTAAACTTCTTGTCAGTTCTAATACTAACAGAGATGTAACTAGTATCAGGGGAGTGCTGCTCTCAGGATTTAAACTGGTTTTGTGATGTTGAAAAAACAGTCCTGGTGGCCCAATTGAGGAGCGGCCCACTGGGAATTTTTCGGACCTTCCCATGGTGACTTCTGTTGCAGAGTGATGGCTGATAGTACTGGCAGTTCTTTATATTATAGCAGCACATCTACTGGTTAGGCTTCTTGAGTGCATAGCTGGAATGCATACTGTATACTTAGTTTGTGCATGTTCAACACCCTACAGCAAGACAAAGCAGGAAATTCCCACATTATGACAGCAGACTGCGTGGGAATAAGTAAAATACCTCCAGTTCCATGCCAAATTTCAAACTCTGGTTTGTATTTGCAAGCTAGCTTATTTGTTCACCAGTTTTTTAAGCTGGCAAAGTAAGCTGTATTGTCCATGTGTTGCAGATGGTTAAGTGTAACACTTCAATAATGTTAAGGGCCAAGTTAAAAGACCAAGTTGCAGAATGCAAATGCAACTAAAATCAAAATTCTGTTAGTGTCAGCTAAGTAAAAATGACCAACTGAAACTAGAGATGGGCGATCCACATTTTTTCTGTTCCGATCCGATTCCGATACACAACTGCCGATACCGATACAGATTCCGATACAAGAGCTCTTTTTACTTTGTTATACTTTGTATATTATTTTTTTAAGCTAGTAAATACAGATGGAAAAAATGTATGACAAAAATATTTATTAGGCTACTACAAACATACATAACGTACTATTCCACCTCGTTTGTTTTAAGCGTTTTTGAGGCATTTGCAGTTCAATATGAATATCTTCAAAGCAAGTATACACAAGTGGCGAATGCTTAAAATTTTAGCAGTTTTTCTCCCATTGGCGTCAACACAGTTACACTTTTGTTGCGATAGCAGCCCCTCTTGTTTCACAAGCTGCAGCGAGTTCGCAAAACAGTCCAATTAAGTTAGCGATTCCCAAATCATCCATTGCTTTGTTTTGTCTCGCAGTTGCGTGCGCTTTGTTAAATGGGATTTTCAATTAAACGCTATTCCCACTTTAAAACTTTATTTTACATAGATTGCAAATCGCTCTGCTACTGGTTTCTGTTAAAAGCGTAAAATACTCCCAGATTCGGCTTCCGGTTGCGCTGTGGGATGGTCGCACCGACGAGAGCTCCGAGTCATCTCAGCAAAAACGTTATTTATGTGCAATACTGGCACTTGACTGCCACCTTTAACCATTGACTGTCAACCATTTA